TCAGCACGTTAGCAGGTGCCTGCTCTTGAAGACTGGCTGCCTCTTAAAACAGTAACCACTACAACAGCCCCCTGCCCCCACCTTTCCCTTAAAATTTGCCTGATGGGCAACTTTATGGTAAAGAGAAATAGTGACCCCCTGTATTTTAAGACCTGCCAATCTCTGCGCAGCAGCCCGGTTACCAAAAGTCAGCTATCCAAAGCAAGCGAGTGGGCTCGCCCAGGGGCCGACACGCTTTGATTTTGACTAGTGGTGGTCCGATTTCCAGGTGGTGCTGGACTTCTCTGACTGTCATTACCCAGCTGGCTCTGGCAGGAAAAAGTTATGTTCCTGTGGGTCACAGCTCCCAGGACCGGTTTGCTGTGAGCTTGGCTACAGGCTGTAGGGCAGACTTTTCCTGGTGAGAAGGGTTAGGTAGCCACAGCTGAAAGGTTCAGGGGTTAGAAACTAATAGAAACTAGCTATAAATATTCTAGAATTTTAAAATTGTTTCCTGTAGCTTGTTTTTTTTTTTTGTTTTTTGTTTTTGTTTTTGCTGTTGTTGTTTGTTTTGAGACAGGGTTTCACTATGTAGCCCAGGTTCGTTTGGCAAACCTGGCAATCCGCCTGCCTTATCTTCCCAAGAGTTAGGATTTCAGGCCGAACCACCATGCCCAATGGCCCCCACTTTTTTCTTTTAAAGCCAAAGATAAGAGCGGTTAGATGACAATTCAAGGTTTGTTCTTTAAAGCTATGGCAGGCTCCTTCATGAAGATCTGGGAGTGATTCAGTGGCTTGAGGAAGCTTGGGGCCAGAAAGAGAAATGGCTGTGATGGGTTTCCGCTTAGTGGTAGCCAGAGTGGTGCCCAGGGCTGAATGAAGGAGATGGTGTGGGTGAGCCCTGCTACACATGGCTGGTGCAGATGCTGACATCTGTGTTAGGTAAGACTCTGGACCTGGTATCACCTGCCTTGTGAGAAGCCTGGCCTAGGACACATTGCTCTGGCCATGGGCTAACTGTAGACAGGACTGAGCCAAGAGAGGGAATGCTACATCAAATCAAGAAGAGGAAGCGATAATCATGTGAGCGTGTTTATAAATCGTCATTGTCCATAGCTGTAAGAGGGCCAGGCTCTGCCTGCCTGGGACCTCAGAAGTGACTGCAAAGGGTTGTCCATGTGCAGAGAGCCGGAACCCAGCTGCGACTTTTGTCACCTCTGAGAGCTGGGGACAGTGCTGACAGTTTGTGTTGTGCCCAGGGAATGGCTGTCCCTCCAAGTTTCTCCTCTTTTGAGGGAAGAGGTGGCTGGGTGTGAGGATTCTAATCTCCCCGCTTTCATGGTCCCGTGAGTCACCTTTCTTTCAGTGACCTCTCCTTTTCTCTGTCACTCTCTAAGACAGGGGCCCTTCACAGTTCTGGGGTGTTGGTCATCTGAGGATCCCTGATGAGAAAGTTCCTTTTCAGGGGAAAGCTCCAGCCCTGCCAGCAAATTCTCTTTAGATTTCAGGCAGCTCAGGTGCCAGGGCCTGTGGTTTACAAATCCATCTCCAGGGAAGTTGGGATGACTTTTAATTGGTATAGCCTCAGACATCAGTCCCTCTATTGTATCCTGTATCCACCCCCTGCTCCCACCCACACTCATCCTTACAGCCCGCATAAGATATGTTAAGTCAGGAGTCTCCTCTCTCTTCCCTAGAACTTCGTCCCAGAAGGTGCCTCAGTGTCTGAGGAGGTCAGGGGAGAGCTGGAACTCACAGCCAGAGCTGTGGGTGGGGCACATTTTTGGACAGCCAGCACCCTACTTGCTTTTGGGGGGTACCTTTGTAGCATTTTATTTCTCTCCTTAAGTTTTCCTTTCTGGTCCATCTTTTATCAACACAGTGGCCTTAGAATTCTGGGTTTCTTGAGATATTCCCTCTTCCCCTGCTTTTCTGGTGAGGGTCCTCAGACTGAGGATCAAACGGCTTCCAGAGGTAAAGAGCAGAGCCCTTGCTGAGGTCAGGGTTTCCAGCCAAATTGCTTGAGATGTGGCTCAGGTGGCAAGAGCACTTGCCTTTAGCATGTACAAGTTCTGAGTTTAGCCCCCGTGAAGGGGGGAGTGGAGGCAGGAGGATTAGGAGTTCACAGCCATCTTCAGCTACCAAGGGAGTTGGCGATTAGCTTGGGATATGAGACCTTATTTTAAAAATAAAAACAAAAACAGAACCAGAGCCAGCCCCCATTCAGCCCTCATCCATTTCTAAGTTCACAGTGGCAGCTGGGACTGTTGGGTTGAAAAGCTGAAGGCAGCAGCCCTGGAGAGATCTCACCTCCCTTTCTCAGGACCCTGCCTGCTTTTTTGAAGCCACTGCCATCTGCAGTAGCCTGGAGTTTGTGACCCGTAATGCCTCTTCCCAGCAATCCTGACTACCATTTTGCTTTGTGGAACATGCTGGCTCTGGATGTGACCATGTTCTTGGGGACATCACGTCTCCTCATTGCTGATAACTTCTTTCTTTCCTGCCCAAAGAGGTCACATTTTAATTGGAAGACAAGAAATGCTGTGTTCTAGTTTTTTGGGGTGGGCGTCTGTCCAACTGCCTTGGGGATTTCCAGGCTGTTCTAGTAAACTCTGGCTGCAAGTCTCTGGGCACAAATTTTCTCTTTCCCCAGGCTGCAGGAAAGCTACCTGGCAGTGCTGGTAGGAATGTCCAAGGGTGTCACTAGATGTCTGGGGAAGGTAGGGCCTGGAAACAGAGCCCTTGAGTTGGCTTTGAACTGTCCCTTTCGCTTTCCTCTAGTGGTGGTCACAAGAGTCCCTGAGGATCTGTGTTACTGAAGGAGTCTTGTATGGCACAGGCCCTAATGCAGATACTTTACACATATAACCTGGACTGAATCCCTAACACTCCAAGGTTAAATCGCTTTAAGGTCACCAAGCTGGAACATGACTCATTCCCAGGAGAAATACGACCCTATACTGTTTTATATTCCTGTTACCACTCCAGCTAGGAAAGGACAACCTGTAAGGGTGTCCTCTTTCTCAGGTGGTGCTGGGGTCAAGTCTGCCAGGGACAACAGCCAGCCCCCTGGGCAGCAATTGTTAGGCTCGTTCTCAGAGCAGTGAGCAGTTCATAGCAAAGTTCAGCGTCATATGAGAGCGGCTTCGTCCCAGCAGGTGCCTCAGTGTCTGGAATGGGAGGTCAGGGAAGAGCTGGAACTCACAGCCAGAGCTGTGGGTGGGGCACATCTCTGGACAGGCAGCTCTGGATCCCTCAGGCTTTCAGTTTTCATTTGAGTCTAGGCTTCATGGGGCACCACTCTTTTCTATTGGCATTGGTCCAGATTTCTCCCAAGTCAGCACCTTTGTGTGGATCTCTGATCTTCCTGTTAGTTTTGGGGTCATTGTGAGTCACAAGTCACATTTGTTATACTAAAAGATTTCTTTCTTTCCAAGGATGTGTGACCGGAATGGCGGGCGTCGGCTCCGGCAGTGGCTGATTGAGCAGATTGACAGCAGTATGTACCCGGGGCTGATATGGGAAAATGACGAGAAGAGTATGTTCCGTATCCCTTGGAAGCATGCTGGCAAGCAGGATTACAATCAGGAAGTGGATGCTTCCATCTTCAAGGTAAAGACCCCTGCGTCCTCACGCTGTGGTTTCTGATTTCTCTCTGGTTTTGGAAGTACTTAGGAGTGTCCTGATGACTAAACAATTAACTCAGTATTTTAAGAGAAACACTGATCGAGGAGTGCTTGGATCTGGCTGTTCCCCCATGAAGTCAAGCATGCTTTTCCCACCTGCTTTGCACCCCTTTGCCTTGATGTACTGCCAGGCTCCGGTCAGTGTACTAAGGAAGACTTCAATCTTTATTCTTTCCAAGTGTGACTCCTTCTTGGCATGTCAGGGCCAGCTAGAAGGGTGACAAGGCTTCCGTGATTGATTCTGGGCCAGGGTTCAGAGGGCATCCTGAGCTTGCACTTGAGTGGTTCCCCTTCTGAGAGGAGTAAGTGCTACCACTGAGGGCAGGCCAGGCAGCTGGGGTGAGAGTCAACTTGAATTGTTCTCTTCTTTTTTCTCATCTCATTCTGTGTGGTGGGTGGTAAACCTGTTTGCATTCTGCAATGGCACTGAGAAGAGAGGTGGATTCTCCAGGGTCTCATAACCCCTGTGTGATATAGCCAGCATTTGGGATCAGGTGGTTTAAGGTCTTAACCCTTTATCTTACTGAGAAGTAGGGTGATTTCTCCCTAAGAACCAGCCCAGTCCAGCTCTGTAGACAGGCTGGGTCAGGAGTTCTCCTGTGGGTTGTCATAGTCACCTAGGGGTGTTTCTAAGGCCCTAGGGATCTAAATTCCATTCTGGGAATTTCAGAGCTGTAAGTTGTGGTCAGCCCAAACTTCTACTTTGTGAGCAGCTGCACCTTGGTGGTCTGACCCAGAGCCCAGGTTATGAACCACTGCCTTTAGTTCTGTGTGTTCTGGGAGCTGGGGGTGGGGAGGAAGGTTATGAAGGTCACAAGGCAGATTGAACTGCCGAGGACCAGAAACTGACTCAAGACCGCGGTCAAGTGGCAGCATGGCCTGCAGAGACTTGGATCACCAACACTGTCTCTGGTGCTACACTCTGGGGCACAGCCTCCCCTTTGCAATGAGAACCTCGAACTGAGCTGGTGATGACTAGCCTTGACACTGAACCTGAGGCACAGGGTATGGGCAGAGTGCTGGACCAGGGTCTTACTTGTTGCAGGAGATAGCAGGCCTCTCTTCAGCCAGTTCCCTGCTTCAGCAAACCAGGAGTCCTGAAGTAAAGCCCCAGATTTATGCATCTTATGCAACGTTCCTCCTCACGGCCAGCAAGCCGTTTCAACAGCATTGAGAAGAATGCGCAAGATTCCCAATGTTTCCGTTGGTTACGCAGTCGCTCTGTGTGGCAATCTGAATGAAACAACAATCTCGGCAGGAATGGTGGGAGACAAATGGGTGCCCACCAGATGGGGAGGCGAGCAGGGGTGAGGAGGGAGGGACAGCTTGGGAGGCACAGAGCAGAGAAGGGGGCTTTTCTGAGCTGTTCTTTGTGGGCTGGGGTGTCTCTGCATCATCAGCCAAATGCATCTTGGCTGTTAAAAGGACTCTGTATTGAGGCCTTGAGCAGGTAGAGCCATCTTAGGGACTTTTTGGTTAAGTAGGAAACATGCTATTCTCAGACAAATAAACCTTTAAAAAATGTAGGTGTTAAGGAAAAAGTGTATGCTTGCTTTTCTACTGGGGAAAGGGATTATACCAGAAAGCCCAGTGCTATCTGCAGGCTGTGTCTTGGGGCCTGCTTCCTGTGTAGACCACAGATAGAGAATGAAAAAGACACTGAGCTTACATCAATCAGGCAAGGACTGAGATTCCCTGGGCCCAGCTGGTGATAGGTCTAACTACTTAGTACTTACCCAATGCACAGAGGACCTTGAAGGAAGAAATAGGAGTAATTTTTATTTTATTTTATTTTGAGTCTGGGTCTTACAAAGTTCAGACTGATTTCAAACTGGCTATGTAGCCGAGGATGACCTTGAACTCCTGATCCTCCTGCATCTACCTCCTGAATGCTCAGATTACTGGTATGGGCCACTATACCTGGTTTATATGGTGCTGAGATACATTCCTAGTGTGTATTTTTTTATTTTATTTTATTTTTTCCGAGACAGGGTTTTTCTGTGGCTTTGGAGGCTGTCCTGGAACTGGATCTTGTAGACCAGGCTGGTCTCGAACTCACAGAGATCCTCCTGTCTCTGCCTCCCAAGTGCTGGGATTAAAGGCGTGCGCCACCACCACCCGGCCCCCAGTGTTGATTTTTAAAGTGCAGTAGGGCACAATGTCAGCCGAGAAAAACTTCAAGCAGTGGGTACCAGGACCACCCTACTCTGGAGCTTCAGCTCTGGGTAGCCCCGAGAGACCATGCAGCTGAGACAGTCCTTTAGAGCTGGTCTCTGGCCAGATGGGGCAAGTCTCAGGGCAGGCCTCTGCTGGTACCCAGTGGGTCTCATAATGCTTCCTGACCATGGAGTCTGATTTGATGGTAGGGGACTCCAGGCCTTCCTCACAGAGAAAGCGTGAGCACAGAATGAAGGAATGAGTAGGGCAGCTCTGTTGAGGAACCCCAGTTCCTTCGTGTGCCTGCTGACTGGGATGCTGCTGTGGCATCTGTGCCTGCTCAGGTGTCACTGGAGTGTGAGTTCACTCAGTGATGTAGAGAGGCAACTCCTGTGGCAGATGTTTTGGATCGCTATATCCAGGGGGAGATACTGCCTGAAAATGCTTTAGGCACTGTGTAGGATGGTCCTCACCGTGGGGACCACTCTCAGCATCAGAGGCAGAGGTAGAACCTTCCAGCATTCACAACCCTGAATCACTGTTACAGTCTGCCAGTTGTTCTTTTCTGCTTTTGAATTCACAACAAGTCAGTATGTGGCCAGCAATGCAGTTTATAATAAAGGCCAGAGTTGGAAACCATCTACTTAAAAAATACTTCTAAAAGTGAGTTTGTAACTATGTCAGAGAGGAAGTGGCCACTTAGGCTCAGTGGTGGGAATGTTCTTCCAGCTTCTTGCTGAGCAGAGATACAGTATCTGGAATCAATAGTTCAGAGAGCACTGGTCTTGAACCCAAGTGTTCCCAAGAACTGTGCATGTGCCCTGGGTATGTGCCTTTGGGAGCCCTGAGGTCCATGTGGGGTGTCTGTGTCTATCACCTTCCACCTTAGTTCTTTAGACAAAGAACCTGGAGCTCACAGATTAGGCTAGGTTGGCTGCCAGCGAGCCTTAGGTATTCTTCTGTCATCATGTCCCCTTGCTTGGATCACAGGTACACATACCCAGCTTTTTCTTTGGGTGTTGGGGATTTGAACATGCCTCTGCTTTGAATTTTTGGTCTTTGCTTAGATCATAAGCTTTGGGCAGATCAGAAAAGTTAACTATTAAAAAAAAACTATATAGAAAAACAGAGACACTTAACAGGGAGAACAATTTGTTGCTTTTTAAATGGTCAGAATCATGCAAAAAATGCAAAACAAACTTTCTATTAAAAGGAAAGAATGGTGATCACATTCATATGTTCCTTTTTTATGCTCAGGGCTTTATTTGAAAAAAGTCTTTGTTTTGACCATTCTGGTGAAGCCATGCACACCTTCCTCTTTAAGCTTCATGACCTCAAGCCAGAGGAGGACTTTGCCAAAGATGCATCCTAGGGTGTGGGCAGCCTGGGGCCTGGGTTCAAATTCTGGCTTTGCTGAGAGTTGCTCTGGTCTGTTTGGATACAGTAGACAAAGTGGTCTTCCTGGACTCCCATTGAGTGCTGACCTTGAACAAGAGTTGATGGCCAAGAAAGTCTCTGGGGAGTTGGGGGTGTGCAGTTTTGTCTTCATGATGAACTCTGTGGTTTGTGTCCCTCTGTTTTTACTGTGTTTCTCTTTCTTTCTTCAGGCCTGGGCAGTTTTTAAAGGGAAGTTTAAAGAGGGGGACAAAGCTGAGCCAGCCACGTGGAAGACGAGGTTACGCTGTGCTTTGAACAAGAGCCCAGATTTTGAGGAAGTGACTGATCGATCCCAGCTGGACATTTCCGAGCCATATAAAGTTTACAGAATTGTCCCCGAGGAAGAGCAAAAATGTAACTATCTGTTGGGGTCAGGAAGCCTTCCAGTACCCTCCTTCACCTTCCCCCTTTTGCCCTGATTAGCTCTTGGTCTCCACAGAGCAGGCATGCCACCCACAGGGTTTGGGTGCCTGGTTTAGCTAAACAAAGTTGTTCTTTCTTGTATAAGCAGATACAGGGAGCTGGTCTGCTGACCTCACACACCATGTGCTGTCAAGTGGCAGCTTCCTGCAGAGGGAGTGGCCACATGGAGGCAGGGAAGGGTAGCCTGGGTCATGGCTCAGAGCACTCTGGGTCTTGGCTCAGAGCGAGAACCTAGCAGAGCCCCTGGAGCTCAGTGTAAACTCTCCTGAATAGGCGTGAAGCTCTGCCATAGCATAGCATGTGATGCAGAATTTCTTTTTGATTTCTAGAAGTTTACAGAGGAGGCTGGGGAAGATCTAGTGGGCAAGGAAAGCATGGCTCATAGGGTTGAGTGAAACGTTCTCCAGTTAGACAAGACAGCAGCAGACCTCACTGATGGCCATGGCATGTGACTGCTGTTGGGAGAACATCGATTCCTGAGGTCTCTTCTAGCAGTAAAATCCTAAAAGCAACTGTAAAGGAATGAAACCAGGGACAGCACAAATCTGCTACACTGCATATGCCTGTGCTTTGGTCAGACATCACTAATCAATCAGAATGTACTGAGCTCAGTGCTAACCTCAGAATCCTTTTAAACTCATGTCCTATGCAGAATCAGAGATGCTTAATCTCCATCATGGGTTTGTGAGGATCTTTGAAAGCCTTGGTTTTCACACCACTCACTCCACACAGGTGTAAAAATATCGTGGAGTTGTGGCCTTTTCTTTGGAAACTTATAGCAGTCTGGTAACAGCAAAAACCTTGAAACAGTTCTTAGGGCTGAACACAGATTATGGGTTTGTTCTCATCCTTCAGTGGGGGTATTGAAAAGCAGACATGCAATTTTTTAAAAAGCAAAAATCTGACTCAAACATATGTCAGAGTGCATGTCACATACCAGGGAACTGACATGGTGACAAAGCCTGTCAGAGAATATGAAACACTGATATATCTAGTCTGCTAGGGATAGGAAGTGTGTTGGTGTGTGTGTGTGTGTGTGTGGTCCCAGGACTCAGGAGGCCAAGGCAGGGGGATTGCATCCTTAAAGCCAGCCTGTCTCAAAAGCAAAACAAAAATCCCCCAAAGAGGAAGCTGAGCTAACTGATGCTTGACTGGGTGCAGGTGGTGCCCTGAAGTTGGCAGTGTTGTATGATCTGGTCACTTGTAGCCTAATCGCCTGCAGATGGATGCCTGGTTTCATTCACTCAGAGCTCTAACAGGTGACACTGGTAAGGCTTACACAGTGACCTTTCTTAGAAGAGGCTCATGGCTCCCTGGGCCTGGTCCATTCTTTGCTGCCTTAATTACTGCCTGCTCTAGACTGTTTGTCTTCACAGTGATTTGAAGCAATAGGGAAGTTTCTCTCAGTGCCCCCGGGATCAGCCAGGCTTGACTTGGTAGATGACCCTGACTTGTTTATAGCGTGGGTGGAGCCCCATCACCTGCAGTGTTGGGGGTGAAGGAGCATTAGGCTCTTGAGCAGAGGAACACAGGATTTGCATACTATTTGTCCTGGTACACTGTACTATGAACTTGAGTGATTTGCCAGCCTCTCTGGGGGCCTTCTTGTCCCCTGCTTGCTCCAGCAATAGCTTCTAAGTGAATGCCTGCATGTGGATGAAGCAGTAAGGAGATTGTGCAGGTTCCTGGGAGCGGGGCGCCTGTCAGGGGTTTTGGTCAAGCTCATGGAGGCTAACCTTCCAAGGCGAACTTCGGATCAGGGAGAGGTGCAAAGTGGGCCAGAAGCCATCTGGACCCATATACTAGCAGATAAAAGCTTTGGGCCCCCTGGGAGGCAGGTAGAGGCTGTGAAATAGGGCCCATGTGTGACTTTACCATGTGGCAGAGGTGTGCAGACACACACATGTATATTTGAAGGGGACAAAAACATTTCCTGATACCTGGCTCCCATCTGCCAGGATATTTTCCAGTAAGTCTCTGCATGTTTTCAAATGCCCAGACTAACAAACTTATCTTCAATATGTAGGCAATGAACGTCTGGTATAAAATGTACCAGTCGGGCCTCAGATAGAAGGAAGAAACCAAAGTCTGGTCCTTGTCCTTTAAAAGCCTGGTGTTTACAACCCCCAGCACCCACTTCTCTCTTTTGACTTGGCTGATCAGATGACCAGGCCATGAGAAGGCACGGCTGAGCCTTTCCCAAACTTTCTAGCAGCTGCTAGTCAGAACCAGTGAGAACACTCACCACCTCTATTTCCTTAAGTCAGCATTTTAAAAAAGGTTGCAATGCGTGGCTGCCCTGGGTCATGGTGTCCATCCCCTTTCCCATAGGCAAGCTGGGCGTGGTGCCTGCAGGCTGTATGAGCGATGTCACGGAGATGGAGTGTGGTCGCTCTGAGATTGATGAGCTGATCAAGGAGGTGAGTGGGGGCCTCCCAGACATCTTCCAGGGAGGGACAGACATTACTTTTATCCCTCATAGGCTTTGAGAACCTTCAGTTCTCCAGAGATGTGACATTCCTACCTGAAGAGGCAGAGTGAGGGACTCCCTGGCTACTTCCCCAGGCTAGCCTCCTTGTACTGGCCAGGCCCTACATGTCCTGTCTCCTTCTGTGGGCCTCCAACAAAACTTTGTTAAACTCCAAGCTTACTTAAAATAGCAGCTTTGAAAGTCACCATGTGGTGTTAACCTTGCTTCTCAGCCTAGCTTCAGGGATAGAACATGACCTTCTCCATTGCTTCTAGTCATCCCATTGGTCCTCATGGCATCTATATGGCTTGCTTTTTTAACACACTAAGTTTATTCCTGAATGGGCCATTGGAACTGGATGACTGAGATCATTGGGATCCACTGATTGGTCTGGGAACGAGCTAGTGTCCCAGTGCTCGCCTAGCATGCATGAAGTTTCCTGGCATCAAAAGATTAGTGAGATTTTTTGTAGCCTTGACAATCCTGGTTAGACTGCCAGCCCAGTGGGTTTGTAGTCTAGGATCTTATGAATTGCAAAGTGAAGCTCAGGCTCTGTCTCATGAGATAAAGGTGACAGATTATGTGGCTTTAGCTGTTTATCTGATATTTTTACAAACATGGGCTTAGGGGAGGGCTGTCCTGGAGACCTGTCACTCAACAGTTATTTTCTGTTACCTGGTCCTATAGCCTTCTGTGGATGAATACATGGGTCTGACCAAAAGGAGTCCATCCCCACCAGAGGCCAGCAGGAGCCAGGTCCTTCCTGACTGGTGGGTCCAGCAGCCTAGTGCGGGTGAGTGTGGGTGACCAGCACTGCCAGCCTTAGGCACTTTGTGTTTTGGTTGGGGGTACTTGTCAGTGTTAGGCTCTATGTCCTGTGGAAGGTAAACTGAGTCCAGATAGGTAAAAAATGAGTTGAGTTAGCCAAGCTGTAGCCTCCTAGGAAGGCACAAATATCTTTGTCTATAATAGGTAGTTATGCATGACCACTTTCCTCCATACCCCCAGGAAGTTGAGAGGAGTCTCCTGACATCCCCAAGACTCAAGGAAGGCCACTTCTCTCAGCCACCCTGTCTCTCCTTTCCAGCTCATCATTAGGTTTGCTGTTCTGTTCAGATATTCAGGACACTCCCAGACCCAGAGAGACCTAGAGTTTCTAGAGAGAAGAGAGCCCAGTCAGGGCAATAGCTTGGAACCACATTGGGCAGTTCATGTCTTAGTGGTGCCTCCATTTACTCAACCATAAATTGGGGATACTAGTACCTGTTTAGTGGAATTAGAAAGTTAAATGAGGAATTCACACTTTGGTTAGCATCTAGTGGGTACACGCAGGCTGTAGATGCTTAGAGAGAGGGTCACTTACCTGGTCCTCTGCTACAGTGTGTGAGCAAATTTTATGGCTCACAGATACCTTGGTTTCCCTCTTTGCCTCTTTCCTGCTAACATAGGAGCTGCCAGGAGGTCTTAGTTGGCCCTGGAAGCCTATGAGGTTTCTAGGCTGTGGGTGTTAGTGTCTTGCAAGGGGCCCTGTGTTGAGAGATGCTTTTGGGAAAGCTGCCTGGGATCCCAGGTCCCCATGTGAGACAAGCCCTGGTTGTTGTGTATAATCCAGTGACATTTGGGCCAGGTCTTTGTGGTAGGAAGGGAGCATGGTCCTGGCACAAGGACAGGACCCCAGAGCACTGAGAAAAGCCTTTACCTTGGTGGGTTTGTGTGTTTGTGAGCCTGCCAGCTCATATAGAGTGGGATCTGCCCATTGGCATCAATGCCACCATCATCAGTGGCCCATCTATACCTAAGGTACATTTGGGTCACGCCCTGCTCATAGAACCGGCCCAAGTGGGAATATACTTTCTTTTCTCTGCCTATAGGTCTGCCACTGGTGACTGGATACGCTGCCTATGACACACACCATTCAGGTACCAGGGTGTTCTGGGTGGGTGGGCAGGGCACAGGCTCTGTTTGAAAATAGTCTCATGGTCTGGATGGGGTCATGAGGTCCTATGGACAAGCCTGGCCTGAGGGTAGGCTTTGAGGACTGCTTCCTCCTCTTCATTCTGTGTGATTTGGGAGCAGGCAAGTGGCTGCTTTGTTGAACATCTCCCTGAGGTGGCCTTAATCAATCCAGGGGGTCTTCAGAGATAGCAGTGCAGAAGAGAATGTAGGCTGCCCTGCTGCTTTGGCCTCAAGTGGAAGGATCTGGCCTTTTGAAGCACCAAGTTCCTCATGTGTGACATACTGTGAGAATCTCATGTGCTACACTGTCACTAATACTGTCTAGTAGGGATGTGGCTGGTCAGTGTCACTTGTGCAGGGTCTTTCACCTCCTCTCACCTCCAACTCCATCGTGAGAGTTATAATGATGGTTATACTGATGTGGATGGCACTGATGGCTATGGTGATGATACTGATGGTGCTCATTGTATGGGTGACGCTGCTGCTGCAGATGATACTGGTGGTGACCATGCTGGTACAGATGCTGATGGTGATGCTGTGGATTGTATCTCTGAATTCTCTACTTCTCTGTCTGTGTCTTCTGAATGTCTTGTTGTCTGTGGTCTGTGTTACTTTGTCTCTCTGTTGTGTGGGTCTGATATCTCTCTGTCCCTAACAAAGTGCTTTGCTGTGTGTTTATTTAAGGGCACAGAAAACACAGTATGTAGAAAGACTGAGAAATTATTATTTTTTAATCAGAGATCTTGAACAGAGTTTTACAAGGGAAGATGTTACTTTGCTGACCCCAATTGACCCAGAATAGCTGATATGTTATTAATTTTTATCCTCATTTTTGCTTCTAACACTTATGGGGTATTTGTTTTGTTTAAGGTTGCTTTCAGCAAATGATTACCACAGCATGCACACATGCACGAACACTATTCTGGGGGCATAGGCATGGAAGAGTACATAATTTAAGATTAAAGCTATTATTTATTTAGCTTGGGTTGTAAAAGCTGATTGCATGGGAAATCCAAGGCATAGTAAGGTTGGTAACATTGTTTTCTTAAAGGCAGGTTAAATAGACAGAACACAGTAGGGAGACAGATGGAGGTCTCAAGGCAAATTATTAACCTTGTTGCAAGGCCAGGTTAACTGCAGAAGTGCAGTTTCTGAAGGCAAGAGGTGTTTCCAGAAAAAAATCTGTTCTCACAGGCAATGTTTCTGATGGTAGGACGGTGGTAATGCTGCCGATGCTACTGGGACTGATGGTAATGGTGCTGCTGATGCTGTTGGTTATGGTGGTCATGGTGTCAGTGATGATGATGATGGTGGTGGTGGTGGTGTGCTGGTGCTGATAGTTCTGATTAGTAGTGATGGTGATCATGCTGATGATTCTGAAAGTCAATGTGCTCAAAGTGCTCATGGCGATGAGGCTGGCAATGATGGGAATGGTGACGACAGTGGTGGGGTGTTTACAGTGCAATTTTGGGTGCCAGGGTTAAGTCTGACACTCTTGTGGGCTGTTTTCTACCCATGCCTCCAACCTCCTCTAGGTTATGGAAATAGGTTATTTCCCAATTCACAGGCTCTGTGTGGTGAGGCTGATAGGTCCCCGAGTGGGGAGCTGCTCCTGGTATCCCATCCTCACTGCTGCTTGCTGTGGGACTAGTGGCATCTCTGTACATTCCCAGGAGCCACCATGTTGTCTGGTTTCATGGCAGACTCAGTAATGCTCAGGAAGAAGCATGCCCTAAGGATCATCATGGGGGCAGAGGAGGGTGCTCATCAAGTAAGAAAAATACAAAGGAAATGATGCTCTGTCTAGTGCCCGCCTGTGTGCTGGGGTCCTTCTAGACCTGGCTGTACATAGACACCCTAGCTTGTTCAAATTTCCAAAGGCAGTTGCCTCCCAGCCTGTTCTCAAGGCCTCCCTAACCCATTCACAGGAGGCCTGGGGTCATGGGCTGAACCTTTGGCCTTGTCAGTCTTGGGTTGTGGCCCTTGGAATCTGCTGACCAATGCATTCTGGGGACCATGTTGGCTGGGTCCAGACCTGTGGCCATCTGAGTGAGAGGTAAAGTTAGGCTGTGAAGAGGAAGTGTCCTTGAGCCTTGAAGAGCTGTCTCAGCATATGTGAAGAAAGCAAGGGGTCCCCGGCCACTCCTGGGAACCTATACTCTGAGCTCCTCTTCCAGAACCCAGGTCACACTCCCTGTCTCTGTAGATAAGCCACAGGCAGGGCTCCTGGTTTCCTGACTGCAGAGATGACAGAGAGTGAGATGGGTGGGGAGGACCAGCAGGGAATAAGGGAGATTGTGGCACGCTGTGGAGAGCCTTGGCCTTGAGGGCTACCCCATGGTAGCTGCCTCCCTGTGGTAACCAGTGTTCTGGGCCTTTAGATCAGGCTAGTATGGACTTCGTAGCAATCAGAAAAATCTAGAGGTCTGGCTTTTATAACTTTTTTCTTTTTGAGACAGTCTCAATGTGTTGTAGCCCAGGATGGTTATGAACTCACAACCCTCTTGCTTCAGGCTCTGGAGTGCTAGGGCATGAGCCAGCTCTCTTTGTTGTCCACCCTCAAGTCTCTCTCAGTGCCACCCTGCTATCAGCCTTTTTGAGGCTGCCAGTTTGTCCCCAGCCTGTGTGTATCCAATGAATGGATCCAATAGTGAGGCTTTTTGGCATGTCTTAGCATTTCAGAGTGAGCAGGAGCCATCCTGCTGTGGGGAGCAAGACCAAGCTCCACACAGAACAGCTGGACTGGCAGGGCCTGCACCTTCACCTCTTCAGCCTGCAAAATGGCTGCAATGACTAGTAATACATGGCAGGGGTCCGATGTGTGAATGGGCCCAAAGCACCTGGCTCAGTACCTGTTGCAATCCCTGCAGATCAGGGTTTGTGGTGTACAGTCTCAGGGGACTTATTTGTGGACCATGTTTCCCCGGCTCCTGTGGTTCCACAAAAGCCCCCCACAAAGCTGGTGCTATTGCCATCTCTACCTTGTTGATGAAAAGCAGACACAAGGGGTGAAGCCACTTGCCTCAAGTCACACAGTTATGAGAAAGCAGTGCTGGAATTCCATACTGAAAGTGATGCTGACGGTGTGATGGTGTAGACGGTGCTGATGGTGTAGACGGTGCTAATGGTGTAGACGGTGCTGATGGTGTAGACGGTGCTGATGGTGTAGACGGTGCTGATGGTGACAGTGCCGATCCTGATTTTATGATACTAATGGTGGTCTGGGTTCCCACATGGGGTGAGCTGCTGGTGTCCTCTGGGGATGCGTTTGAAGCAGGCTTAGGCTGTATCTGGATTCTTAGAATCTCAGTGGTGGAGGTGAAGACTTACATTGCAGCATGGAGAGCATTTGTCAACTGCTTCTCCTCTGTGTCTGCACATGTCCCATGTGAGGTGTGGCAGCTTGTCACCTACTCTCCTTCCACCCGTCCCTTCTCCAAAATGAGAAGGCATGGGGTCACTGAGCCAGTCCTGTCTGCATATCTCTGAGACATTTTGCTGTTCCTGGGGGTGTTGAGGGATTCTGGTTCCAAAATTCCTCTAAGATGACAGGGTAAAGTTTATAATGTGTGCATGACATGAGTACAGGACACAGTGTGGACACAGTGTGGACACAGGACACAGTGTAAGCACAGGGTACAGTGTGAGTACAGGACAGAGTGTAGACACAGGGTACAGTGTGACCACAGGGCCCAATGTGAGCACAGGTACAGAGAGTGGACACTGGACACAGTGTGAGCACAGGTACAGAGTAGACAATGGACATAGTGTGAGCACAGGGTACAGAGTGGACACAGGGTACATAGTGGACAGAAGGCACAGTGTAGACACAGGATACAGTGTGAGCACAGGGCACAGTGTGAGAGGCAGAGGCAATGCTGGGAGCTCCATTCACTTAGAATGAAGTCCTAAATTGTCCCAGGGTGGAGGGGATGTGTTAGTTTGTTGGTAATGCAGACACAGAGGACACTCACATGGCTGGTGTGGAGTACAGGGAGTAGGGAATAGGTACACTAGTACTGCCATTTAACTGCTGACCAAGCTAATTTGGGCCTCAGTTTCCCCAAATGTGAACTTGATGACCTGAACTGAAACAGCTGGCTATTTACTCAGGTGACTCTAGCACACTATGTAACCTCAGCAGGGAACAACGAAGCCTGTGGACAGTGGTAGGCGCTCTAACTGGTAGAAGGGTCTGAGGATTCCAAATGTGCAGCAGTGTTAGCCCTGGCAATGTGTGTTACTCACACAGGCCCACTCAGTAGTGCAGCTAGTGATTGTACAGGACACTATAGGTTTGGGGGCTATCAGCTTCTGTGGCTCCAGAGAGAAGTCTGGGCTGGTGTGGTGAGAAGTTGAGGAAGCATAAGGCTGCTGTTGGTGGAAAATTCTGTTTATAGCAGTTTATAGCATCTCCAGCGTCCCATAGCTCTGGGGTGTTCTCTTTATTCCTGCAGTAGCTCAGGGTTTCCCTAGCTCCCATCACTGGAGCACCAACTCCACACCGGCTGCCAGTCAGGGACTGCTGGGCCCTCAGCATTGTATTTTTCTTGTCTTTTCACTATGTATGTTTATCTGGAATGCTGCTGCCTGTAAGAGGACACAGGCACCACATGTTATACAGGAAGCCAGAGGTGGAGCAAACGAAAGTCAACAAAAGCAATATACAGAGTTGTAAATTTCCAGTCTCATGGCTCAAGTTCAAAGTCTTATTTGATTAGTTTACATTTGTGGTGCTGAGGCTGTAACCCAGGACTTTGCATGTGCGAGGCCAGCATCCCTCTCTGAACTGCACTCTGGTTCTTGAGGTGACAGAGTGAAGGGATGGCGGAGGTGTAACCTACCTGTCACAGCTCCCTCCTGTGTAGCTTCCAGGGAGAGCACTTCCAGATCTTTCTGGAGGACAGGCTGTGTGCAGGATTTTACAGAGGGTTTCGACCTGAATCCAGGGAATCCCAGGTCACCATGTATTGTGAAGATGATAATACCTTCACAGGTGGTATTTCCTCTCATCGTGAATGTAGGTCACTGAGTCCAGAGTGACAAGGGGACCAGAGCCTCAGAGCACTTCATGAGAAATGACAAAAGCTATGCCCGCATGGCTTGAACTTGGTGCACACGCATGCGCACACGTACACGTGTGCATGAAGGCACGTTCATGTGTGTACAGATGCTTGTGTATATGAATGCATCTTCCTATATGTGTGTTCATGTGTGTGTGCATGAATGCGCACGCGCGCGTGCGCGTGTGTGTGTGTGTGTGTGTGTGTGTGTGTGTGTGTAGATCAGAGGCTAGTCTTAGGTATCATTTCTTGGGCACTATCCATTTTATTTTTTGAGACAGGGTCTCCCACTGGCTTGGATCTTACCAAGTAGGAGAGACTGACTGGCCAGTCAGCCCTAGGTGTTGGTCTTTCTCTGCTACTCAGGCGCTGGGATTACAAGCGAACACCACTTGGAAGGAGGAATAGAGCCTTTGGGAAGGAAAACCTGGGGCTCCCCCTCTGCCAGCCCCTGATTGCCCTGTGTTCTCCTCCCCAACAGCCTTCTCCCAGATGCTGATCAGCTTCTACTATGGGGGCAAGCCTGTGGGCCAGGCCACCACTACCTGCCCCGATGGCTGCCGCCTATCCCTGAGCCAGCCGGGGCTTCCCAAACTGTATGGGCCCGATGGCCTGGAGCCAGTGTGCTTCCCAACAGCTGACACCATCCCCAGCGAGCGGCAGAGGCAGGTGACCCGGAAGTTGTTTGGACACCTGGAGCGTGGCGTGCTCCTGCACAGCAACCGCAAGGGTGTGTTCGTGAAGCGGCTGTGCCAGGGCCGTGTGTTCTGCAGTGGCAATGCAGTGGTGTGCAAGGGCAGGCCCAACAAGCTGGAGCGGGATGAGGTGGTGCAGGTCTTTGACACCAACCAGTTCTTCAGAGGTCAGTACCGAGTCACCTCGCTGTCCGTGCCTTAACGTTCACACCCACCTATTATCCTGTGCCACCTGCATCATGGACTAAGTTTACTCTTGCAGGGGTTGAGGGCTTTGGCAATGGTATGGCTGGGGAACTCTTTGAAGCCTGACCTGCACATTCTCCCTGAGCAGCCTTGGAACTGCTTAGAAATGCAGAGTCCAGGGTCCAGGCAGCCCAAGCTCTGCTTCTTTACCTTGGCAGGGTCAATGGGGAGATGGCATGATTTAGTGTGTCTAGTCACCAGCCTGTGGGGCTGCAGGTGGCTCCCTTCCAAGTTCTGCAGCCTACCCCGGACCCTCACTACAGCTCAGAGGCTCACTGGTTTCTGTGTTCTTCCAGAACTGCAGCAATTCTACGCCACCCAGAGTCGCCTTCCTGATAGCAGGGTGGTGCTGTGCTTTGGGGAGGAGTTTCCAGACACAGCGCCCTTGCGCTCCAAGCTCATTCTGGTGCAGGTGAGAGCTAGTGGTTTCTGTCTTGTGTCCAGGCATCCTCACCCTCATTTATATGGGCCAACTTTATCCCAAGGTGAGAAGAGACAGCAAGGACTACAAATTCCACCTGTGTGACCAGGGCAGAGGCAGGCAAACGAGACCGCAAAGGGGTCTTATCATCTCTGCATTTTGTCTTCCTATGTTGGGACTCTTCATCTGTGTTTTCCTCCTTCTCTTCCTCCCTTTCTCCTGCTTTTCCTTCCTCCTTCCCCTGTTTCTTCCTCTTCAGAAACTCTTTACCTGTCCAGTGGCCCTAAGGTCTAAGTGACATTTTATAGTTTTGTAAGCCCTTATTTGATTATGGTCAGAGCAGTCCTGGTAGAACACTCTTAGCAATGGTCAGAAGTACTGTCTGCCTGGCTCCTTCTTGTCACTGAGGGGATCAGAGGACCTGTGGTGGGGTGGAGGAAGGCCCCAATTCCTCCCACCTTTCTTCTGACTTTGTACATGGCTCTTGCAGGTGGAGCAGCTGTATGCCAGGCAGCTGATGGAGGAAGCAGGCAAGAGCTGTGGTGCTGGTCCCCTGATGCCAGCCCTGGAGGAGCCCCCACTAGACCATACCTTGCGGATGTTTCCAGATATCTGTGCCTCACACCAGAGACCCTTTTTCAGAGAAAACCAACAGATCACCGTCTAAGCCTCACCCTGGGCATCCTACCTCGCCCGAGGCTCAAGCTTCACAATTCTGTGCCTGACAGCATTCTGATAGGATGTGGACCCCTCTGGCTAAGGCGGGCAGTGTTCTCTATGAGGCCTTCAGAAGCCCAGAAATGGACACACTCCTGCCCAGGCAGATATCGGAAGTTTGCAGGGGCTGTGGCCAGAACTTGCAATTAAAACATTAATTTCTTGACTTTTCCCCATTACCATTAATGGTTGCTCTTTCTACATGTTGAAGTCAGTTTGACAGTTTAAATCAGTCTGTGGCAATAGAGCCACCTTTGTCCTTCTCTGGCTGAAGGTAGAGATTTCTGACTTTCTCTGCTTGATTGTACAAAATGCATCTTTTTACTGGTCCTTTTCTTTTTGTATTTGTCCAGAAGGCTGAGAAAATAAGTTGATACACTTAAAAGAAAAAAAAACCAAAAAAAACCAAACAAATAAACAAAAAAACTTCTGTAATGAGGTGTCCCTGGTAACCTCTGTCTCCTTTCCAAATGTTTTTCACTTTTAAAACAATATTTGTATTTTCACATGCCCTACTTTGGACCTTTCCTGTAAAGTGGGCAGATTATAAATATGAGTGTTGATACCGCTTGTGGATTTCATATAAATTTTGGTTATGGATCATCAATTCACATGACTCTGTATCAGCTGGCAGGGGTTTGTGTGGGTCATGGTGGGACCAGGAACTATCCCACCTCAGACATCTCACCCTTTTATTGTCCCATTCCACACCCAGTCCTAAGACCCAGTGCAAAGCAATGTCCACATTGCACTCTAGGCTTAGAAGTGACTGCCCACATACCAGGGAAAGGCACATATCCTACATATCACAGACAGGATGCCCACCCGTAACATGCTGAGCAGAAGCCATCGTGGAAAACTTAGGGCATGGCTCGGTGACTGAGGCCTGTTTGTGCCCCCAATCTGGCTGTCCAGTCTAGTATCTACATAATTTAAATCGTTGGCTGTGGGGCCCAGGGGGTGCCTCCAGAGCTGCTTTCTGTGGGAGTGAGCCACTGCCAAGGTTTTAGTTTGGCTATCAGTGCACAACAGGTGTCGATGCCAACCAAACACGTGGGTGTAGAGAGCATCCTCTCCCTCCCACTCTTGTGTGGGGACAGGAGAAACCTCCTCCATTTGTTTTCCTTTATAGCCAGCTTGGGTCCCTCCTAATGTGCTCAGCATTCCACACTGAAGGGCAGGACTGTTGTTCTGAGAAGCAGGGGCGCGGGGGGGGGGGGGGTGGCGACATGAGGGTTCGAAAGACGAGGCTCAACAGGCCACGAAAAGTCAAAGAACGCGAACTTCGACCTTCGCGGCCATTGTGTGAAGGTGATGGAAATGGGCCAGCTCAGCAGATACAGTTGTCAGAGTACGTGACACCTGCAAACAGAAGCTGGGGCTGGCTTCTCCCCCTCTGCCAAAGCCAGGAACATCCCTTCTGAAGCTAGGACAACCTGTTTACTGGCCCTTTGTCACATGTCACCTCCTGCCTCAGTGAGTGCTAACGCACAAATCTGTAATCCAAATATTTATTTTTTTATCCATTTAAAAATTGTTGACCTTAGCCTTTATTAAAGTAAATTACCCTTTCATAAAATTGGTATCTGTTCTTTGTTTTTAAAAACCACTCTCGAATATAATTTTCATTAGACTGGTTTCAGAATTTTTTTAAAATTTTGATTTAAAAAAAAAAAAAAAAAAGACAGGATCTGAATCTGTAGCCCAGGCTTTGAACTCATCGAAATCCCCTGCCTCAGCCTCCTGAGTGATGGGAGTATAGTCACTATGGCTTTGAGGATTCTTAAGGAAGGAACTTCAAAGGAACAACGGACTGAGATTTTGAAGGATTTAGGGGGGTTTGTTTTTGTTTTGTTTTGTTTTGTTTTGTTTTGTTTTGTCCCCAAGACAATGGCAGAAAGGTCTGGAGAATGGGACTGATGCATAGAAGACACTAGAGAGTGCAGTGGACAATGTATGCTGTGCAATCAGGGCCTGTTTGGGTTTCAGTGAGCCCAGGCTGTGTGAAGTGTGGGAGGGCATGGAGGAAGGAGATTACACTGGTAGCATGCTTCTGCAAGTATTGGGGGATGTTTACCAGTCATAGTGATGAGGTCTGACCTTCCATTTACACGCACATACTCATGGGGGACACAAGCCCAGTATGGCCCCTCACTGATGCTCCATCCAGACCAGGGGCTATTGCATTAGCAACTGACAGCAAAGCTCCCACTGCAGGTTGGTACAGGCTGCTCTTCAGGTGGGCATGGGCTGCTAGCTCAGGTGGGCACAGGCTGTGCCTCAGGTGGGCATGGGCTGCTAGCTCAGGTGGGCACAGGCTGTGCCTCAGGTGGGCATGGGCTGCTAGCTCAGGTGGGCACAGGCTGTGCCTCAGGTGGGCGGATGCAGCCTAGCACATCCTGTCCCTGAGGTAATGTGCGCTACCTCTGCTTTCCTCAGACACAAGGCCTGTTACTCACAGCTCACAGATGTGGAAAGTGAGGTCCATGCTTGGCTGGTGTGAAGCCTTCTGGGAACACAGTGAGAGGGAGGAGCCTCTGTGCAAGATCCTTGACCCAGAGGACCGCTGACCCCAGAGCCAAGGACAGCAGACAGTTCTGTACTGAGTCATGTTAGTTCCAGAGGGCTCCAACCAGGAATTTTGTTTATAAGCATCTCTCTCTGAATGTGGAAAGTGAAGCCAGTCCTAGTTTACGTCTCTCAGAGTTCAACTCCTGGGCAGAGAGTGGATGCTGCCTCCCTGAAGTGCACGAGGGCATTGGAGTCTCTGAAGGCTGGGGCCTCCAGGGACAAGGCTTGGGTCCTCAAAGGAAAGTGACTTTCTTTGGATGGTGAGTGTTTGGCTCTGAAGGAAAGACCAGCTACCCTGACTCTTGGGATCATAAACCCCTTAGGAAGTTGGTGTGTGTCAACATGGCCCCTTGCATTGCCATTAGCTCACAAATGCCTGCAGGATCCATAGGGGAAGCAAGACAATGACCCTAGAGACAAGCAGGGAAGAGCAGGTTGGGTGGGGCAAGGCCAGGGTGCACCTGCTGTATGGGGCTTGGTTGGGCTGCTGGAGGGTAGGGAGAGGATGTGTGGCCACGGGACAGGCTAGGGTTCTACCCACTCAAAACTCACCAGCTGCTCATGCTTCCCACCCTGGGTTTCTGGGATTCAGTACCACACACCAAGGAGCAAATGGCCTGCTGCTCCGTAAATGACAACAACAAAAAAGTACATTTCCATTTATCACTCGTTTGTAATTAAGCTGTGAGTGATTAAATAGTTGCACTATTAACATTAAATAGTTCTTATCAATGAACTATAATGCCAATGGTCAAGTATGTGTGTCAATCAATAAAGTAATTGTTTGTGGGGTGTGGTGGTGCAATCCTGTAATCCAGGCTGTCAGAAGGCTGAGGCAGGAGGATGGTGAGTTTCAGACTATTCAGGGTTGCATAGTGAAACATTGTCTCAAGAAACCAAGCCAAACCAAAACAATAATAATGCAATAATTAATACTCAATTGTTAGGAGCAATAAAGCAATAGGATCTGAGTGTGTAGAATTATATGGTTTCCTTTAATTATGGACACTGATTTAATTGTATATGATATCAATGTGATCACTTCAGGAAGCTGCAACTATAAACAGTAATGAAATTATTAAACTTCTCTCAAGAAGTTACTTGCACAGGGTCTCAGCTAGCCTAGTGGGCTGCCTTGATCCCAGCTTCCTACCTAGAGCCTGGAGTATACTATAGTGCTGTTTTATTTTTATTTGTTTTTGAGAAAGGGTCTTTGTAGTCCAGGCTAGCCTCAAATTTGCGACAGTCCTTCTTTTTCAGCCTCAACCGCCTGTGTGGTAGGGTGGCTCTGATGGTCAAATGGCAGGTGGTAGAAGGGCTATGAGGTGCTGCCCGTGATCCACGTGGAAAGAAGGTCTGAGGATGGCTCAGAGCTGCTGAGAGACGTGAGATCCTGGCTCAACCTTCTCCCAACAAGCAGTTGGAGCAGGCCATTCCAAGGGTTTCTTTAAGTGGTCAGATGGGCTTGCAAATCCTGCAGGAGGAGTCGCCGTGAGCAACCCCTAGAGAACACTGGAATAGTGTGCTTTAGGTCAGCCTTTCCTTTGCAGTGGAGGGAGAGAGGCAGGAGAGGGAAGGAAGGGCAGAATATGGGGGTCTAGGATCACTTGTGGTGAGACATGGAGAGAGAACAGCTTTTGTGGATGCTGCCCAGTGAGCAGGGTTGTAGCACAAATAATAAAAACCCAGAAACAGATATCGGGGTTCATGCTGAAGATCAGAGAAGCAAAGCAGCCAAGCCACTAGCTCTTACCTCTACCTCAGACTGAAATGGCAACCCTGTCTCGATCAAGCCTCAGACTCCAATCCCAGACTGCTGCCTCCCTTCAACCTGGCTGGAGACAAATTCTCTCCTGAGACCCTTTTGCTTTTCCTTTTATACCTCTCAAATCCCAGGATTAAATCTCCTTTGTGTGAGCTGTTTCTCTTTTAGATTGGATAATTTCATGTAGCTCAGTGTGGCCTTGAACTAACAGAGATCCATCTACCTCTTAATCCTGAGCCCTGAGATTCAAGGTATGTACCACCACTGCCTAGCTTCTATAGCTAACTAATGTGGCTGGCTTTGCATCCTGAAATCATAAATAATATTATCACCACACAGGATCTTCCTGGTCCCTCCAGCATGTGTAAGTGGAGGGCTGGAGCTCTGGAGTGACACTGACTCGGAGCTGTGTTACTGAGTGGGATAGAACTCAGAGAATTATGGGTCACACCGTTGCACTGAGGATCTGGTAGCTATAACACCCCCTGCTTTGCTTTTGTCTGAAGTATACAAAAAAGGAAATTTAAAAATTGCCCAAACCCCCAAAGGGACACAAGGGATTCCCACGGCAGTTCTTTGGCCAGCTTGGGGACAAAAAAAAAAAAAAAAAAAAAAAAAAAAAAAAAAAAAAAAAAAATCAGCGTCTCAGCTGCCCCTTTCCTTCCTGCCCATGGCTTCTGCAAGGGTCTCTTGGTCTCCACAATGCCCTGGAGCAAGGCGTTGAGCAAAGCAGGCTAGAGACGCCGAGGCCCAAATAAAGCTACCGTTGCCAGGGCCCCTGTGAACAAGACCAAAACTCTTACAATGGGAGCTTCTTCTCAATTTCCATCCAGGCCAATGGCCCAGGATTGAGTCGGAGTCTGTGGAGAGTGGACACGGAGATTAGAGCCAAAGAAGACACATGATACCACAGAACAGGATTTAGTCAGGCTGAGATGGCTTGAAGATGGAAGCCAGGCCATGAGCCAAGGAATGAGGGGACTCTGGAAGTTGAGAATGGCAGGGAAAC